TCTCTCAAGTCCAAACTGAACTTGTGTCTCATGTTCATCTTTAGGCGCAAAAGACATAGCAATAACATCTCTTTCAAATAGGTAACTTCCAAAACTACAAACTCCACACCCAACGTCCAATATCACCCTTGTATGCTTTTCCCATGCAATGTCTGGTTGCGCCTGAACAATAACAATTAACCAATTATTTCAAACAAACTTATAATATCATCTATATATATTACATAGTTAAGAACACTCATTATTACCTTTTGAAGAAAATCAATATAGTGAAGAGCACCATGAATGAACTGAGTGCCACCTCCAGGGAATTTCAAGAACTCACCCATCAACTTGACCCAGTTTGGTGTCCCTTTACTTCAGCTAGCTTAACATGTGGTACATTGTGGTACCATATCTAAATCACAAAAACATATTTAAGTTCTATGGACCATTTATTACTATGTTTTAAAACAAAGTAGTATCTTAAATTTGAAGGGTATATATAAGAGAAACCTTATCTCTACTACCAGGCCATGGAACATGTATTTTGTCCAGACAAGTTGGTGCATCCTCATGGCAATGTCTCTCTCTATGTTCAAAGTGTTTTCTATGTGAAGTTTTAAGATACTTTTTCATTTCTTCTGTAGTGAACTTCATTTTTGGATCAGCTAGGGCAGTAGCAATAACATATTTGGCATCGTGTACAATCATGACTCGTGATGCACCATAACAGTTATTCAAATTAGAAACATAACCGACTGAGTTCAAAAACATGAAAAACGTTGTACTAACCTCATGTAGTGCTTGTGCATCATTTGTTCCATCCCCGGTTACGGCCACAACTTTTCCCTTTCTCCTCAAGAGTATATAGGATACATTTTCTATTTTTGAATTATGCAACAATCAATTGCAAGTGTTCAGTTGTGTAGGCAAAAAGGAAATCAAATTGTCAATAGAAAACCATTGTATGATTATATAATCTAACCTACACGTTCATGATTTTTCATCACTACAAATTGTATACCTATATGGAAGGAAGAAACTAAGGTTCAACTGAAATAATATACCACTGGGTCTTGGAGATCGGAAAAACAATGCCAATGACTTTTTAGCCACCCGAACGAAAAACTGCACCAGATTTCCTATGATCAGATGAAATTATACAAAACAAATGGGAAATAGCAAAGAAAAGGAAAAACTTGATTGGCGAGTGAGAGAGCATGGTACTGCATTTTAGGGCTGCATCGAATGTCACGCAAAACTACAACACATGCCCTCCCTCTTCTTCCTCCTTCCATCTTTTCTTTGCTTTTTCCTTTGAGTATCAAATTCCAATGTTAAAACTCAAAATTCAAAATTCAATAAAACCATTAGCCAAAATCAAATCTTTTTCAATCGAAATTATTAATCAAAATTTAAAAGAAAGAAAATAGATTCACACCTGCCATTTCCGTTGATGGTAGTCCCAGAGAGTCAAGTTAGCATATAGAGGAAGCAAAAATAAAATGGAATTTCAACCCTAAAATAGAACAAAGAAACAAAGTAAAGTAGAAGAAGTCAACCCTATCTTATTCATGACAAAATCAGAGTTGTGAAATTTCAGATATAACATACAATGTGAACTTCCACTACTACTTCTTTCCCCATCCACAACCACAAACAGTCGAAAACCACTTTAAACACTCACCATCATCTAACATATTCCACAATCATGTAACCATCCCTCCTCCGCCACTTATTTCGCCAAAACACTACAAACAATAACAAAAATGCAGCCACCGTGAACCCTGCAAACCACACACCTTGCAATTGTGAAGCAACGCACAATTGCTATTCAAACCTCTACTCACTTCTACGATCCGGACAATAGCTTTAATAGATACATCGGCACCATACCAATGTAGTGAGAAGTAGTTTCTTCACATGAAGACTTTCCTCCTAATAATACTTCAGCAAGCAGTATCCCTGCCTTGCCTGATCTAGAAAGTAAAATAAACTTAGACAGGCAGAATAAATAATAAACTTTAAATGGAATCAAGACAGTGAAACATCCCTTTTTACCATGTCGTCTATCGAAAAAATAGTAACATGAAAATATATATCCTAGCCACCCCAAGCACATCGACTTTTCTAAATGGTGTTAGCTAGATATTTTTGGCATTAGACACAAAAAATAGGTTAAATGCAAGACTTCATGGATATGATGAAGCCTTGGATCTATGAATTGCACATATGACAACATGCAGTTGTCAACTTCCATGGCAATTTTTCAAGGATATGCTATCATAATCCAGTGACGATCAATTATGTCACAGTATATTGTCCAGCAAAAATGATATAAACTCCATGAATTGCCTACACAATGTTAAGTAACAAAGGGCAAGTAGATGATCTTTCTTGACTTTGCAAAATTTATATTTCGCTGAACGAAGAGATAAAATTTTACCTGTCAATAGCAATCGACCACGTGTTGTCTATGAAATCAGTGGCTGAAAGTCATTCAGCTGGCCAAACCAATGCAGTTAAGAGTGCACTCAAGACAGTTAGCATTGCCCCTTGCCTCATCAACTTCATCACAAGTTCTAACACATCACAAAAATATTGATATCATTCACGAGTCTACTTAAAAATATTTAAAAAATCAATAGCCTGAAACCCAAATCAATTACTTGAAGTTAGCCAATCCTGGATTGCATGCTCACGGCCATTAGATTCTTGGATTCCCACTGCAATGCATACCTAACTTTTGGCAAGGATGATAAGTCATTAGGGTATTAACTTGCATTTCTATAAATGTAAAGGAAACAACAGAAAAATATGTGATTAGACTACAATAAGATAACATCTAATTAGCATGTTGTATTAACATGTACTTGGCTGATAAAAACTGTATTAAGCAATAATATTCACAAGCAAAGTCATTATAATTGTTATCAATAACAGATTGCAGAAAACGACAGAAAGCCAAAAATTTGCTATATAAAATGACGGAAAGCCAAAAATATACTAAATGTTCATGTCACCAATTAATGTTACACAATTAAGAGAAACATAACAATATAATCTAACTAACATCAAAAGGAAACAACATCAGAAGACCATAAATGATTAAAAAAAATCAATTTCCTGAAGAAATTATCATATGATCTGGTAAATTAAAGCAGCAGTTCCATAAATATGATCCATCACAACATACACCAACAAAGAGTGTAGTGTTTAATAAACCAAAAGACTTAAATACAGAAATGCATTGATTTCCAAACATGTCAATGTAGTGAGAAGCAGTTTCTTCACATGAAGACTTTGTTAAGGCCACAAAAACCAGTAGATCAGCAACCTACAGCATAAATAGTGTCCAACACAACAGTAATCAAAGCCGTAAAATCATTATAAAAAAAAGAAATTAAAACCATTATTATTCAAACCTGGAAAACAAAACCAACAATAGAGGTTCCAGTCTTCAAGTAAGTAGGGAGTTTGAGACCCTTCTTTTCAAATATATCATTTCTTCTGCAGATATCGAAACTGAAACCGCTCTTAGGAGAAAGATACAACAACTTAGTCATTTCCAAAACGTGAATAGCTCCTGAAATCAAAACTGAGACAAAAAGAAAATAAAAATAATTGTTAACAAACCCGTAGCTACCGTAAACTATAAATAAAATGAAAATAAGTGAAAGAAAATGAGAGATTAAAATGTGTCTGAACTCTTGCATCCAAGAAAAATGTGTAAAAAAATTAAATCAACAACCGAGGGAGAAGGGGGGGACACCGTCAGAACTCCTTTTGCGGCTGAACTCTTGAAGAAGGTGGTGAAAGTCGCGGCTGCGCTATGGTTTGCAGAGAAAATAGAGAGAAGAGAGAAAATGATGAAATGAAGCATACGGTAGGGAGACAAGGGAGAAGGGGGAGGGACGTCGTCAGCTTAGGGTTTTTTAGGGGAAAAAGAGATGAGAGAGAAGAGAATGAGGATGAGAACGTTGGGAAAAAGAGAGGGAAAATTAGAAAGAGGAAGAAGGTGAGGGAAAGAGGGAAGACAAGAGTTTTCAAAAAAAACTTCTGCCACTTGGCAAAATTGAACCATGCTATTGGTCAATATTTTATATTTAATAAATTACCAAAAAGGACAAGGTCTAGTCTTAACTAAAAATCAAATGAAGGATAAATTAGGGAGAATAATGACATTTTCAAACATATTTTAACTTACCTGCATCAGAATTTGAGCTTAACACTTCTTTTTTTAATGTAGAATTAAAAAAAGGAAGTAAATTTGTCATTGTTGTCTCCATTTTGACATTAGACTATGAATTTGATTCGAAATATGATGATTCAAAAGCTATTAGTAAAAAGACTTTTTAATATTTAGACATATACAATTCAAACTCTTCCATTTTGTGAATTTTTCTCACATTTAAAGGTGACATTAAATTAAAAAAATATTATAAATTACCATCTCTTTTGAAATTCTTGATCCCATTTTTTTCTCAAACAAATGTATTATTAAAATAAAAGAATTGGATTATAAACAACTTTGTTGGCTATATTCAAGTAATCAAGTTTATCCAAACGAATGCTTACAATGTTAGAAATTTCGATCATAATCAACATTGTGGATTATATCCTATGTGCAAAAGGATCCAACTTATGATCTTGAGAGTGAAGCTTAGCAAAGATTGAACAAGCATAGACTTGAATGTGAAAGAGAAAAGAGAAGCTACTCCAATATGTCTGAGCAGATACGGTAAATGATGTTTCTACTCATGGTGGTGATATTTCTGCTCATGGTGGCGATGTTCCTACTTTGAATTGTTGTATTAATCAAATATTCATTTACGTAATATAAATCTCACACCTAAATGAACGAAAGTTGAACAAAACACGATGCATTGCAATGATAAGGCGCTAAGCACAATTCCAATATTACAATATCAGATTCTTATGATACTGAAACCAGCAGTTTGAGATTAACCACACATTGAAAATATCTACACAAATCCTATAGCAAGAATTCAACAAAATCAAGCACGCTCGCCTCTGATACGCCTAGCGAGCTGGATATCCTTAGGCATGATAGTGACACGCTTGGCATGAATAGCGCAGAGGTTAGTGTCCTCAAAGAGTCCAACAAGGTACGACTCAGCTGCTTCCTGGAGTGCCGACACGGCGGAGCTCTGGAAACGGAGGTCAGTCTTGAAATCCTGAGCGATCTCACGAACAAGACGCTGGAAAGGAAGCTTGCGGATCAAAAGCTCAGTGCTCTTCTGGTACTTGCGGATCTCGCGGAGTGCGACGGTTCCTGGCCTGAAACGATGTGGCTTCTTCACTCCTCCGGTGGCCGGAGCAGATTTGCGAGCAGCTTTGGTTGCCAGTTGCTTCCTTGGGGCTTTGCCGCCAGTAGACTTGCGAGCGGTTTGCTTGGTACGTGCCATTGTAGAATAACAGAAAAACGTTTCTAAAAGATTAGAAATCGGGGCTTGTCTTCTGTTATGCTTTCAGAATGATGATCTTTGTAGAGAAGAAACGGTTTATTATATAGTGATGATATTGTGCGGGTTTTGAAATTGAGAGGGAGGTGAATTGGTTATGTTGTAGCCGTTGATTTTAGTTCAATAATCGACGGATGTTATTTGTTTAGAATAGTCGAGCACGCGGATTAGTGACGTGGCATATAGAGGAGTTTGAAGCGTGTAGTCGTAGTCGTTGATGTGGTAATGATGAAAGGTTGAGATTGAATTTGATAGAGTGACGCGGATTGATAGATTTTTGATAAGGGGAAACGAAAATGATAGTATAGGAAGGAAATTTCATCTTTTGGCGTTCTTTTATTTGGGCAGGTTCTGAGAATGGGTCTTGTGAATTGAAATTCCAAACTATAGTATTGGGCTTTGAATTGAAGTTTGAGCTCTTTTTTTAAAAAATGTCTTAACCATTTTTCTAAAACTTTACTAACTATATAATAAATCATCTTTTTAATTGAATATTATATTGTTATTATAATTTTATAGTGACAAAAAATATAATTTTTGGTGAATTAATTTTGAGATTTAATGTATTTTATCCGTCATTTAAATGAATTTTACTTTATCTTGTAAAAAACTTTTTTATATTTCAAATTTGTAACACTAAGATTCTTAAATGTTGACCCATGGCATGTGGTGTGATGAATGTTTATATTGCTAGTATAGTTATGAAAAAAAAAATAATGTTATTATAATTTTATGGTGACAAAAATTTCATTTTTGGTGAATTAATTGTGAAATTTAATGTATTTTATCCGTCATTTAAATGAATTTTACTTTTATCTTGTAAATAACTTTTTTATATTTTAAATTTGTAATTAAGGATGCTCATGGATGATTAATTTCCATAACTAATTCATAATCATAAATAATTTATATGTTATTATCGGTTATTAAAATTAATTGTCATAACTAGTTTTTATTTTCGTAAAATAGTTATAAACCAGTTATATCCATAACCAATTTTGTAATTAATTTTGATTTAATTTTATTTTAAAATTATTTTTTGCAGGTATTTTTTTTATTAATTTTTTTTTAAAGAAAAAATATTTATGTCCAAAAATAAAAATTTGTTTTTTTTTAATTTCAAAAAACAACTTTTTTATTTTTTAAATAAATATATTTTTTTAATGTCTTAGTAATTTTTTATTTACTGAAAAAAAATTAAAAAAATTGGAAAAATAATTTCAAAATTAAAAAAAATATATTTATTTTTAGGATAATGTTAACTTGTGCCCTTGGGGCACATGTTAAGAACTAAATTAAGAAACATTGTCTTGAAAATTGTGTATAAACTTTAATTAAAGTATAAAATTATTTTTTAAATTATTTTTTCCAATGCAAATTTACTATAAGTGGTTTTCTTAACATGTGCCCCAAGGGCACAAGTTAACATTACCCTTATTTTTAAAACAGAAAATAGATTAATTTGGTTTTTATTTTGGATATGGATATCTAAATATAAATTTGGTTAAAACCATATTAATATCAAATCTAAAATATGAATTTGGTTGAAACCATACTTATAATTAATAGATTTTTAATAATTGAATATGGATAATTTAAATAACCGATTTATTTGAATATCATATTTGTAACACTAAGATTTTTAAATTTTGACCCATGGCATGTGGTGCAATGAATGTTTATATGAATTTATTCTTTTTAATGTGATAGTGATTATTTAATGTTGAATCGCAATTTAATTTTGTTGTTAAGTATTTTCATTAATCTTAACAATTTCACCTTCTTTCTTACGAAAAACTCTTCTTTTTTTTTAAAGATTTTTATTTATTTATCTTTATTCACCATCTATCACAACCAAACTTAAGTAGTATTATCATATAGTTGATGTTTCTCTTAGGAATTATGATCATCCTTTTAGACTTATCTCTAAGATTATTCATGTTTGAATTACGAGAAGGTTTAAGTCATTTTTATATAAAATTAGAGAAAGTTGTGTGTCATTCACTTTTGTGGCGTGCACGTCTAAACGTGTTTCAGGTACATCTATATGTATCAATCGAGAGCGTACGCCTTATCACGCGACATTGCATTCTTGATTGTTTCTCAATTGAGATCAAGTCGCCTCGTCAGTGGCGTCTTGAACTCAACTGTTTAGTAATTTGCTTTCAGATGTCGAATCATTATCTTTCGATACACGATCGACATATATTTTAACTTTGCTTTTGCAACCATCATATACATGAAATAGAATTCAAGTCCTAAAATAAAGCAAACTTAGATTTATCGCAATTGCAAATTAATAACTTAGTAGGGGTTAGTCATGAGATGGAGTCTCATAACCCCATGTCCCTAAGGGTCTTCTCACTTATGGTGAGATGGACAACAACAATAAACAAATTAAAGAACATTGCAAAAATAATAGATAAAAGGTAGAGAAATAGCAAACAACAAACTAAAATAAAGATAAAGACGAGATTAAGATAAAAATACTAAAAAATTGCAAAGGATTGATAATAACTTAAGCTAAGAACAAAGGAACAACTAATGTTTATAGTTATATATTGAAAGATGATGTCAAAGATGGATCCTTAGTCCCCTATTTATACTAATTCAAGGCCTAAGTCACTAATTTCTAGCACTAATTTCGTACTTAATAAACACTTAACAATAATCATAAAGAAAATAGGAGTTACAAAAGCCAAAGATTTTGTAACTGCTTGAGGCCTAACACGGATCGTGTAAGTGAACACGGGCTGGCCGTGTCACTGGACACGGGGTGGTCATGTCAGCCTCTGCCTCCTTCAATTACATGCCTCTAAGGGGGGAACACAACCAATATCATGAGACACGGCCTGGTCGTGTTGGACTCAAAACTTTTAGACTAGAAACACTCATTTTGTGCAATCTTTAGGCTTTTTTTTTGTTCTGATTCGCTCTAGTGACTACTTATTGCCTAAAAATAAACATAGGAGACAAAACGCGTAAAAAATGAACTAGATTTCTTAAAACACACATGAAATCAAAGGGAAAACAAGCTAGAAACATGATACATTTACCGCTTATCAAATGCCAACAACTAGCCTAATGGTATCAATCCTATCCACTAGTGCAAATACTTCTTCAAAGTCTATGTCTTCACTTTTCAAAAATATCTTTGCCATTAATCTAGCCTTATGCTTTATTATTTTAGCTTTGGAATTTGCCTTTACTTTATATACCCATCTTACATCAATTAACTTCTTTCCTTTAGGTAGATTAACTAGTTCCCATGTATCAGCTTCTCCTTCATTACACATATCCATTTTGGATCACTCAATGCCTCCTCCATTTTCACTAGTTCAGATTTAGCCATGAGTGTAAAATGGACAAGATCACCATTATCATTCACTTCATTATCTAAAAACAACTCACAATCTTGCAATCTCACAGGTATGCCTCTCTGCCTTGTTGATCTTCTCACATTTTCTTAAACTTGGACTTCATTGACTATAATTCCTGCCATTTGAAACACTATAGGAACAGTTCCAACATTGTTGTAACCTTTAGATTCGTCGGTTATAACATGCTGCTAGTCACTTAATTCCTCAAAATTCATATCCCTGTTGATTATAATTCTCTTGTTAACTAGGTTATAAAGTTTGTAGCCACTCGTTGAGTGGTACCCAACAAGAATCATTTTCTCTCCCTTATTAACTAGCTTCTTTCTAAACTGACCCAACACATGTCTACAACACCCGAACCAAATACCTTTAAGTGACTCATATTTGGCTTGAATCTGGACCATGATTATTCAGATGTAATATTTTTTAGCTTCTTTATTAGACATATATTCAAAAATTATGCAGTCGTCGACATTGTTTCTCCCTGTAATTATTTTGTCAAGTTCTTACATTTCAACATGTTTCTCACCATGTTTATAATTAATTAATTCTTCCTCCTGACGACTCCATTTTGTTGAGGCGTATAAGGTGGTACAACCTTATGTACAATGCCTTCTTGAACACAAAATTTCACAAAGTCATATGATGTATATTCACTTCCACCATTTGTTTTTAGAGTTTTGATTTTGTGATCACTTTGTCTTTCCACCATGGATTTGAACTTCTAGAATACTTCCAACACCTTATATTTTCTTTTGATCAAGTAAGTTCGCAACTTTCTTATAAAATTATCAATGAAAGTGATAAAGTACATATTTCCTCTAATTAAATTAACTTGCATCGGTCTACAAACATCTAAATACACTACCTCGGGACGGCACTTGGTTATGCATCTTGCATCTTTGATAAAGTTGCATTAGTGTTACCTGGCCTACACACACTTTTCACACATTTCAGTTAGCATATTGATCAACGACAGCTCTGTAACTATGTTGTTTTTAGGCATAACATTGAGATCCTTGAAATTTAAATGTCGAAGCCTATATTGTCAGATCCATTCTTACCTACTATAAATGGTTGTAAAAAACCTATGTTTCATTACTATCAACTCAACTTTGAAAGTTCTTTTTTAAGCCATATGGGCCTTTATGATCAAATTTCCATTTGTATCCATAACTTTCAACACTTTATGTTACATGTGAATCTTGTAATTCCTCTCAAGCAATTGACCAATGCTTAAAATATTACAATTGATTATAGGAATATACAACACATCTTTAATCAAAGAATGCTCATCATTCTTCCACTTGATTGATACATCGTTAATACCCTTTGCTGCTAGTGTGTTGTCATCCACGAATTTCACCTTGTTTTTCAATGTTTGATTGATTTTTAAAAACCAATACTTCATCTTTGTCATTTGAATTAAACACCCAGGGTCAAGATACCATTGGTTGATGAATTTTGCATTTTTTTGCATAGTCACCATCAAATTTTCAACTGATGGTAACCAGTTACACTCTGTTTGTAACTAGTCGCATATGCCTTTTTTATGATGTTTTC